AAAATAGGATGTTGATTTGTTACTTTGTTTTGTCTTGGAAAAAGTCTTTGTCTGGCTTTAATGTCAGAGTAGTTCTGGCCCCTGTTCAATTTTCTAATATTTTGGGATTATGTTAGAAATACTCTAAAACATCAGGGGTTCAGACACGGCCCACAGGTAAAAATGCTTAGCTTGCACGAAGTCCTTAGTGCAGGCCCCAGCAGAACAAAAATAAATAACATAAAAATCAATCATTAGACAGACAGTATTGTCAGATCCTCTAGCCTTACAGATTTTCTTTTCTTTTTCGGTTTTTCGAGACAGGGTTTCTCTGTGTAGCTTTGAGACTTTCCTGGAACTCGCTTTGTAGACCAGGCTAGCCTTGAACTCACAGAGATCCGCCTGCTTCTGCCTCTCGAGTGCTGGGATTAAAGGCACGTGCCACCACCGCCCAGCTGCCTTATAGATTTTCTGTTGGCTGGTCTAGAAAATAGGTTTTAAAGAAGAATCAGTAATGACACATAAGGGATTTATCTAGAAGGAGGGATTTATCTAGGAGGAATTCTGGAGATGGTTCATAGTCATCTTTTCATAGCCAGTTTTTGCCATATTGTGCGCCCCCCGCCCCCCCAGTGCCAAGGCTTCAAGTTCTGGTAGCATTGCCCATACCTGGCCTGCCTTGAGGTCCCTCTGGTGCTGTCTGTGGCTGGTAGTCCTTGGCCTGCTCACCACACACAAGGCTCTGCTCTCTCTGCAGGTGGAGAATTCCACACTGAGCTCCCAGAATGCAGCACTTGGTGCGCAGTACACAATGCTACAGAGCCAGCAGTCGGCCAAGGAGGCTGAACATGAAAGTCTGCAGCAGCAGCAGGAGCAACTGGCAGCTGCTTATGAGGCCCTGCTTCAGGACCATGAGCACCTGGGTGCCCTGTACGAGCGCCAGTCCTCAGAGTATGAGGCCCTCATCCGACAGCACAGCTGTCTGAAGACGCTGCACCGGAACCTGGAGTTGGAGCATAAGGAGCTTGGGGAGAGGTGGGGCCTGGAGGGCAGGGGTAGAGCCTGTGGGGCAGGGGAGGGCAGGGGTAGAGCCTGTAGGGCCTGGGAGGCAGGGGCCTGGGAACAGGGAAGCTGGGTATATAGACAGGAGACCTGAGAGAGGCCTGGGGGTAGAGATACAGCCTATGGAGGAGGCAGCTGGTGTGCTGAGCCCCTTAGGCTGCCCCAGAGCTTCTGGGACTTTCCTGAGGCCTGCGTGCCCCTCCGCCTCTCCCCCGCATTTCCTCTTGGCGGGCTGCTTCTCATTGTTGGTGCACCTGAGCTTTCCCAAAGGGAAGGAAATAGAACCTTTAGCGATTTCTATTTCCTTTCTGTTTGTCCAGCTGGGGATTGTGGCAGGGGACACAGGGGCAAAGGGGTGCCGTGGCTCACCCTGGCTCTGGGTGACCCAGTGTGCACACTTGGAGACCTGTTCTCTAAGAATTCTTTCTTCTTCCTCACCCCCTTTTTCTCCTCTCCTGACCCACACCGCTGGGAAAATACTTCCGGCTGTGTGCAGGGTTGTGCACACTGCCTCTCCCAAGTCTAAGTCTAGAGTGTTTGCTTCAAAACCCAGATCCTCCCGTTATGTTAAATATTGAATGCATACAACAAAGGAACCCCACACCTGTGATCTTGGCACAGCTGGGAGGTAGAAGGGCGGGGTGAGGGAGCGGGAGACTGTCCCCAGTGCCCTCCCACAATTACCCACACTGCCCTTCTCCTTTAATCTGTACCTGCCGCTTTTTCTTTGCTTCGGGTAAGTTTTTCGTATGTTGAAATACATAAATGTTAACTTTTCACACTTGGCAGTCCCAGGTCCAGGGGTGGGGTGGGGGTGTCATTAAAGTCAGCCACTGTTGGCTGGGCTCCCGCCCCTGCACTGAGAGGTCCAGAACTCTGGCTGGAGTTCTGTCTCCAGAGCCTGAGAATCAGTGAGATACGCATCAGAAGGAAGCTTGTCCAAAGAAGGGAACCCACAGGAACGGGACAGGAGAGAGCCAGCGTCCCCTTCCTGTGTGAGCGAAGTGGCCCCACTGGCAGCATCTCTGTCCAGTCCACCTCAGCAGAGCAGCTGGGCACCTGATACGTTAGTTAGGTCTGGTGGGAGTGGCTGACGTGCAGGAAATTTCCGAAGCAGGGACCTACGCATGTTATTGAGCCAGGAAAGCCATGTATGGGCACCGATGGCACTTGTGGGTAGAATGGTGAGGACAACAGATTTTCCTACCCAGTATGGCCTTTTTGCCTCCGTCTAGAGTCTCCCATCTCCATCCTTCAGGGCTGCCAAGATGTTGGCTTTTGTGTGACTTTTTCTTCTCATCAGATGGTACAGCTTCTGCCTCTGGGTCCTTTATCCCCTGGCATTCCCCCTCCAGCCCTTTCTACATGCATCATTTACTGGACCTATACTTCATATGTCTAACCATGAAAGGCGCTGTGCCGCTAACAGACTAACACAGTGGAACACACAGCACTGACACTAATGTGAGCGTGACCCCTGCTCACAAGCCTTTACACAAACATCATAAAACATTGTACTTTTTTTTTTTTTTTTTTTTTTTTTCAGATTATTATTATTTGATTACCACCACAGGGTTTCTCGATGTATCCTTGGCTGTCCTGGATCTCCCTCTATAAACCAGGTTGGCCTCGAACTCACAGAGATCCGCCTGCCTCTGCCTCCCGAGTGCTGGGATTAAAGGCATGCGCCACCACCGCCTGGCACATTGTACTCTTAGAGTCTTTTTCTTTTCTTTTTTTTTTTTAAGATCTTCTTTGTGTGTTTTGATTTTTCAAGACAGAGTTTTTCTGTGTAACCCTAGCTGTCCTGGAGCTTACTCTGTAGACCAGACTGGCCGTGAACTCAGAGATCCACCTGCCTCTGCCTCCCGAGTGCTGGGATTAAAGGTGTGCTCCACCAGGAGGTTTATTTATGTGTTTATGTGTATGGTTGTTTTGTCTGCATCTGCACCACCAGAAGAGGGCGTTGTATCCCAAGGACTACAGTTATAGACAGTTGTGAGCCACCATGGATGTGCTGGGAATTGAACTCGGGACCTCTGGAGGGAGAGCCAGTGCTCTCAGCCGCTGAGCCATCTCTCCCCTCTTCTTGGAGCCGAATGTCCGTTCAGAGGAGGAAGGTTTTTGTAGACGGAGTTGTGACTGACTCTGAAGGTCAAGGCCCTGGCTTGGTCTAGCATCTGTCAGCCACTTAGCATCTCCGGCTGGTTGGCCACACAGCTGGAGGCACAGTCTCCAGTCTGTGCACTGGGGCTTCCAGTGCCTGTCACACAGGAGTAACAGAGGTCTGGGTTCTTTTCCTTTGATACTTAATTGGACTCCCGCCGGATAGTTACTCTGTCGTGTCAAGGGCTCACTGGTAAGCAAGACTCCGAAGGCTTGCGGGCTGTCGGCTGGTCTGTGTACTTGGCTGAAGCGACACAGGGGAGCAGGAATTGGAAGGCCCTGCTGGTCAGTTTGCGGTCTTGGTCAAACTTGGGTAATTCTTCCACAATCACTCACTTGGCTCTGGAAGCCAGACAGATCCCCTCATCCTAACTCTGTGCCCTGCCGTGTGGGGCCTCTGTACTTTGGAGAATGGCCTTGAGTTTCCTAATGGGATCCCTTACACGGGGATGCAGTGAGATGGCCCAGGCTCAGCTGATGTGGAGGGCAGGAGTTGGAGGGGAGACTGGAGACCCCAGCAGTAGGACGGCGGCAGTGTTACATGCTCAGAAGAGAAGGGGGCTCCCAGGTTTCCTGAGCCCGGTGGTTGAGAAACGCGCCCCAGACCACTCGTCTCCCTGACTCGGAGATCCTGGGTCATCAGCACTGAGGGACAAAAGTCAAGTCATTTCCACCTTGTGCTCTGCTGCCCCCCAGCAACAGCTGTGCAGCCTACAAGGATTAAGAAAAATTCAAACAGAGAGAGAGAGAGAGAGAGAGCGCTCTCAACCCCCAGTGCCAGTGGGAACAGAGACGTGGGCTCTCATAGAGTGAGGAGGGTGTGGGCAGGGAGTAGTTGTTTCATAGAGTGGAATTTAGCTGTTTATTTTGTGGTTTCCTTTAGTTAGGTCTACTGGTTCTTAGTGACCCACTTTGTAAGGTGAGTCTCTAAAATAGGAGGGTGTAGAGTGTGGCCCTTATGCTCTCAGGTGACCTGCAGAAGGGGCTGGCTGTGACAGGGAAGCCAAGGAAGCAGAGAATGGAAGAGGACTGTGGCCCTGGGAGCTGCTGACTGACACACACACACACACACACACACACACACACACACACACACACCGGCAGCATTCATCTTGCTTCCCTGCTGTCCAGCCTCTCACCACTCCTCAGAGAACAGGTCTCAGAGGAACCCCCTTTTCTGAGAGGGCTTATTCCAGTCTCCTGGGGTGTGAGTTGCCTGTGGGAGATGGAGCCTGGCCGCGCTTCCAGTGGCTGTTTGCTCCACCAGGCACGGTGACTTACAGAAGCGGAAAGCTGAGCTGGAGGAGCTGGAGAAGGCGCTGAGCACCGAGCGGGAGGCGCTGCAGCGGGAACAGAGGACCAGCGCCGTGGCCTCCAGTGAGAACCAGAGGCTGCGAGGAGAGCTGGACAGGTGAGCAAGCACCCAGGCGCGCCCACCCGGGGCTGGGAGGAGTGGCGGGGACCCAGGAATCTAATCTGTTCAGAGCAGTCCTCACTGAAAACTGCCTGTGAACTCCTTGTCAGGAGCTGCATGCCGCTGCCCAGGTAAGGAGCTGACGGACAGCTGTGCTAGTGGGGCGTGGGTGGTGGTACTCAGCCGGCACAGGGAGAGGTGGATCGTGTATCTGTACAGGCGTAGTCATCTTCAGATGTAAGCCCAGCCCTCGGGAGCCACTGTGGTCCTCCTTATTCAACAGATTCACCTACTCACTGGTGCTTATTTGTAACCCAGAATCTCACTCCTATTCGTGGGTCTTTTGTGGATACGCACGGAGTTCTCAGAATATTTGAGTCATCGGGCTCACTCAGCTTCCTTGTTTCGTCTCTCCTACTGTGGACCAAAGTCCTCCCAGGACCTGTTTGTGCCGTATCTTTAGTGTGGAGTGGTGTGAGTCCTCGTCTTGCTGGGTTGAACAGCCCCAGGCATAGGGCCCAAGCGCAGCCCGCGTCCCTGAGTGCAGAGTGGCGGCCATGTGCCTAGCAGAGAAAACGCCTGTGTTGATAAGCTTCGCCCGCTGAGAGTCGCAGGCTTGTACTTTGTTTTCGGGGCTGACTGTTGGGCGCTGGACAGCTAGCTGGTGTGCTCTTTTCCTGGGGAAGGCCACTTCCTGTTCCCAGCTTCCCTCAGTTGCCTGTAGTTCTTTGGGTAGGGCTGACGTCTCGTGGGCTTTTCCCTGTGCTGTTTGGCATATTGATCAGTGTCCTTGTTTAGCTCATGGTTGAGCAGTCATGTGGGTGAGACTTTATGGGTGTAGCTTCTGCTGTTACTAGGAGACAGTCTCACAGTAAAGTCCCTGATTCCCTGGCTCTTCTGCAATGTTCCCTGAGCCTGAGATGTAGGAATGTTCTGTAGATGTATCCGCTGGGACGGGGCTCCATGTCTCTGCCTATCAATTGGTTGTGGGTTTCTGTAGTCGTTTCAGTTGCAGAGAGAAGTGTCCTTGATGAAGGGTGAACCTACACTTACCTGTGGGTGTAAGGACAGCTGTTTTTAGATTGTTATTAGGGATGACGCTGGTTTAGTGAATTACTGGTTGCAGATTCTCCTCCGATAGCCATGATTCCACTCGCTCCGATTAGGTAACTAGGTTTCCAGTACCAGGCGTGCTCTCCCTCTTGTTGGCTGGGTCTTAAGTCCAGTTAGAGAGTTGCTGGTTACCGCCAAGTCGGCACCACTACTGCGCCTGTAGGGCTATTGTGACATGCCGGTGCTTCATGTGGTTCTTAGGCGTCGTGGCCAAGTGGGACTGCTGGTTTCCTCTCTCCTTTGGAAGCTTGTGGGCACAGTGTTTTAGAGAAAGAGTATTCTCTTAAAAATTTTTTTTTTTTTAAAGCACGGCTCTTTTTCCCACTTATACCAGAATGCCTAAACACTAATGTAGGTGGCCACTGGCCATGATGTCCTGTTGAGGCCAGTATCCTTAGCCTGCGTGCCTGTTGTTCCCCTCACCCCCTACCCAGACCAGTATGGCTTACACCCCCTACCCAGACCAGTATGGCTTCAGGGATGCCCTCCTAGAGCCCCAGAGAACACAGTCTGGAAAGCAGCAACTTTTCTCAGAGTTTCTGACGTCACACACGGGAGGTTGACAGCTTGCATAGTCTGCTACTGTCAGAACAGGTACCGAACCCACAGCTGCAGGCCCTTCTGCCTTTGGAATGCCTTTTAGCCCCCTTGCCTGTGGCTCCCCTCCCCTAGGGTCAGTTTCCTGCACCACCAGCTGAAAGGGGAGTATGAAGAGCTGCATGCCCACACCAAGGAGCTGAAAACATCACTGAACAATTCCCAGCTGGAGCTGAACCGCTGGCAGGCACGCTTCGACGAGCTTAAGGAACAGCACCAGAGCATGGACATCTCACTGACCAAGCTGGACAACCACTGTGAGGTGAGGCGTGCCTTCGGGCAGGTCTGTGAGGGGCTAGCACCCTCCCGGGTGTATCCTCTGAGACTGGAGGTGTCCTTGGAGCCAAGGTGAGACCAGAGTGCCACCTGTGGTAGGAACCTCTCAGAGGCCACTTTGTCTGACATTTGCTTCCTGAAGTCAACAGTGGCGTCTGTCTGTCCATCAGGACGTGGTGGCACCGTCATCGTCTGTACCTCTTATTTTCAGCAGACAGCTACACGAGCAAAATGGCCTGGGATTGAGTGTGGCTGCCTGGCTCAGGTCCTGGGGCTGGGTGATCAGCTGCTGGTGGCCCGGAGCTGGGTCAGAAATGGCCATTGTGGGAAACAAAGCCCTCCTTTAGGTAGAATCTCAGATAGACCCCACTATACAGGAAGAGTCTGAGGAGGTGGGCCCCTCCTGATTTCTGAGACACCCCTGGGAGGCAAGTAGGCAAGTAGGAAACCTCAGCCCCAGACACTAGTATCCAGTCACCCAGCCAGATCTGAGCTGCCCATGGAGGATGAGAAACCCTGGCCCAGTGCCCTACTGGGTATGGGTGTCACTGACCAGGCACTCACATCCACTGGGGACTGCCCTTACAGGAGGTGCACTATTTCTATCTCTCTGTATCTGTATGTCTGTATACAGATGTGTGCGCGTGCTCATGTGCACGCTTGCTTGCATTATCTAGTGCCTCTATGCACTCTGCCACTTCCTTGGACCTCGAGGAAGTGGTACTACAAAGGAAACGGCCTCACCTCCTTTGCCCTTCCATATCTGCTCATCACATACACGTAAGTTGTGTACAATAATGGAAAAGGAAAAGGTAGATTTCGAGCCTTCAGTTAATGGTGAAGTTAGCTTTGTGGGGTAGAGAGGAGTGAGGGAGGAGCATGTTTCCCTCCTGTGGCATGCTGGGAGTTTCACTATGGCTTACCTGTTAGCTTATTTCATCCTCAGTGAGGTACATGATGGACAGGAGCCCCGTCTCTGCCTCCCACACCTCTGGGCCTCCCCGCTACACCACAGTGCTGTTCTAAAACAAGTCTGTGAGCTTCAGCCCACAAGCCAGATCCTCCCTGCCACCTGCATTCACACAGCCCACGGACTAAGAATGGCTCCTGACGTTTTTAATGGTTGAAGCTAAAACTCAAACAAACAGATATTTATTTTGTGGCTAGGGAGAAATGAAATGAAATTGTTGTCAGTGTGGGTGAGAGTGAAGTTTTGTGGGGACACAGCCACTCTTAGGTTATCTATGACTGCTTTTGTGCTACACGGGCACCAGACACCGGATGGCTTGGAAGGCCCTCGGTCTCCAGTCTCCAAGCTCTCTCTTACAGCAGAGCTTGCAGCTGAAATCCGTGCAGGCTACACTTTGTAGTAGCCACCTTCAAAACAGTTCTTCTTTTCAATGAGATTAGTACATTTTTCTTTATTTTTTTAGTGCTGGTAATGGCAGGCAGCCTTCTGAGACACATCCCTGGCCCCAGTGAAATTAACTGTAGTAACATAATTAACCAGTAGATCAAAAATATTTCACATGTAATCTTGTGTTCTGCTGTGTATCTTGCTCATATCACACCTCCCCCAGAATGGCTGGTCTGTGATCTCGACAGCCGCGAGCTGCCAGCTGGCTGCTGGGTCGTGTGGTGTGTGCAGAGGCAGTGCAGCCTTCCTGGCTGGTTGACCCTCCCTAGGTCCTCACTAGTGCAGACAGACCAAGATGGACGGACGCCCTGTGCAAGTGTTCCTTGAGAGGCCGGGTCTCCAGCATAGCATCGGGGTCACAGGGTATCTGAGCCGTTGCTGGTCTGTGTTTCAGCTGCTCTCCCGTCTCAAGGGGAACTTAGAGGAGGAGAATCATCACCTGCTGAGCCAGATCCAGCTGCTGAGCCAGCAGAACCAGATGCTGCTGGAGCAGAACATAGAGAACAAGGAGCAGTACCATGAGGAGCAGAAGCAGTACATGTGAGTGGGCCGTGGCGGGCGGCATGTTCGTAAGGGGCCTCTGAACCACTGTCCCCAGCCCCCCACAGTGCGCAGTCCTCACTGGGGGGGGGGGGGGCGATATCCTGTCTTCTCTTCCACCATACACCTGTTGCTTTCAAGACAGAGAAGAGCCCCTAACCACTAGGGTTTGGAGGATTAGAGATGGAGCTATACCATTTTATGGAATCGTCTAGATTTCTGAGAGGTAGCGATTAGCTTGCATGTGTGTGAGGTTTCCTGCTCCCGTGTGCCCTCTGTGTGCATGCATATGTGTGGGGAGGGGGTACAAGTGTGTGTGTGTGTGTGTGTGTGTGTGTGTGTGTGTGTGTGTGTGTGTGTGTGTGTGGTGTAGGCCAGAGGTCAACCTGGAGTGTCATTTGAGACAAGGCCTTTTATTGGTCTGTGCCTTCCTGATTAGGCTAGGCTGACTGGCCAGTGAACCCCCACGTCCTCCTGTCTCTTCCCCACTGGGGTTACAAGGGCACTCCACTGTGCCTGGCTTTTTATGTGGCTTCTGAGGAGTGAACTCAGGTCCTCTCATGCTTCCATGGCAGTTATTTTACCAGCTGAGTTACCTCCTCTGCCCTCACTGAAGTATTATCCACCGCCGGAAAGGTCTCTCTCTACTTAGACTGGAGTTCATTTGTAGACATAGGCCGCCAGCACCAGCTGTAGCTCAGGGAACAAGTCCAAACTGAGAGCGGAGAATCAGTTTCTCCCTCACCTGACTGTAGCAAGTGAGTGCGTTCCGTGCCTTGCCTAACCTTTCCTCCTCGAGCCTTATGTAGACCCTGGGAGCCTAGAGCCATGGGGTGACAGGGGCTGTGCCCCCTCCCGCTGGGATCAGAGGCCCCAAAGGACAAGTGGAGGGGGTCGTGTTGCTGCTGAGATGAGAGGAGGCCAGGTTGAATAGGGAGAGTTGGGTGTGGTGGGTGATCTCGGTGCTGGGGATGTAGGAGAGAGGCCTGCCTAGCTAAAGACACTGCATCTCCTGGGACAGGTTTGAAGGGATGTGTGTCTCGGCCTGGGCACTTGACAGAGGTAGTGAATGTGAGGGGGAACGCTGATGCTGGAAACCCACAGTTGGATAATCCGAGGTGTATCGTGCTAGACCAAGCCTGTCCCTCCTCACGACCAGCGTCTCGGGCAAGCCCTGTGCTCCTGGCCCGAGTATGCCTAAGACAAGAAGAGCCAGCCATGGTGGTGCGTGGCTCCAATCCCAGCACTCGGGAGGCAGAGGCAGGCGGATTGCTGGTCCTTTGAAACCAGCCTGGTCTACATATCATATTCAAAGAGCCAGGGCTGCCTAGAGAGACTCTGTCTTAAAACAAAAAGGCAGGAAGTGGCATGTTTATGGAGGGGTGTGGTCCCTGAACCCCCGGTGCTTTCCCAGCTCTCTCTGATGTAACTCTGAACCTCCTCTTTGCCTTATGCATCTGCTTGCCACCTACTTCGGGATGACTCACGTGGAAGCCCACACTGTAATTTGGCATCTAAGTGGCAGTTGCTTGAAGCTGACCCTCTGTAATCCATGTGGTAGAATCGCCAGCCGAGGTTGGGCAGGTGCTAACGAAACAGCGTAGAAGACTGGTCCTCGGGAGGGAGATGATTGGTGATGTCTTTTGCATTAGAGAGTGTCTGTGTCAGGCCAGTGGCTTGGCACACCTCTCAGCTTGTTCCAAGCAGCCAGCATGCACCCCATTGGTGTCTTTTCCCCGAGTGCAGCCTTTCCAGTGGGCTCTTGGGAAAGTTTTCAGCGTGGACAGGATCTTCTCTGCTTTAGCAGTGAAGTAACCTGAACAAGCCACTGCCTAGGGCCCCACTTTCCCATGAGTTCAGCAAGCGTGGCAGACACCCCAGCAAACAGGCCCTGGGGCTGCCCGTCGCCACTGTGATGTTGAAAGTGTGAGCCGGTTTCCACCATTTAGAAGCAGAGATTTGCTTCAGGGCCTGAGCGCTGGCTTTTCACACGGTCACCATACCCAGCTGCTTTCTTCCCGCCTGGCTGCTCTGCTGGGGCTGGCTGCCCAGGGCGTGCTCAGGCTCGCCACACGTCCCGCTCTGTGGCCTTCTCTGCTTGTCCTCTGAAAACAGTTGGCCTCACAAGCTGTTACCAGGCCCCAGCGTGCCTTTGCCGCCTCAGTGTTCAAGTGTTAATGTGCCTGGTGATCCGGCTGCATTAGAGAGTGTCTGTCTGCCTCCGGCCCGTGGTGCCCGGTGTCCTACACAGTTTGGCCAAGTGTGAGTTCTCAGGTGATCAGAGGTTTGCTCTCTTAAGCCCACTTAGCTGGCTCCCAGGTGTTCAAAAAGCACAGATAGCTGGGTTTTTGCTTTGATTTATTTGAGGTAAGATCTCACTTTGTAGCTTTGACTAGAGTGGAACTCACTCTGTAGACCAGGCTGGCCTCGAACTCAGGGATCCACCTGCCTCTGTCTCCTGAGTGCTGGGATTAAAGGAGTGAGCCAACAAGGCCAGCTAGACTCATAACTGGTACTGCTGATCATAAATTCCCATTCATTGACCAGTGTGGGGTTGAACACCTTCAGACCTGAATCCAGACACTGATTTCTGATCTAGATTGGACGGCTAAGTACACTCACTTGTTTATTTAAACTGGATTGATCGATTTCCCTCTGTTCACAGAGACAAATTAAATGCTTTACGGAGACACAAGGAAAAACTGGAAGAGAAAATCATGGATCAGTACAAGTTCTATGACCCTGCCCCAAAGAAGTGAGTGGATCCAGGATTAGTGAGTGACACACAGTGATCCTAGCCATCTTAGCTGCGAGACAAGACAGCCTGGGAGCCATAGTGCAAGACCAGCCCTGCACCCCCACTTACAGGTGCCCCTATGGCAGTGGTTCTCAACCTTCCTAACGCTGCGACCCTTTAATACAGTTCCTCACGTTGTGATGACCCCCAACCATAAACTTATTTTGTTGCTGCTTCATAGCTATAATTGTGCTGCTGTTATGAATTATAAGTATCCGATATGCAATCCAAAGGGGTCACAGCCCACAGGTTGAGAACCACTGCCCTATGGCAAAGCAGAGCTCTCGGCCCCACCCTTTATATCCCAGCTTGTCCTGTGAGGGTGGCAAATGCCAGCCAGCCCTGATGAGACACCAGGGTGACTCACCCATGAGGCCTGATAGGAGGCCGAAAGTTGTGAATCAGAGTCATTAAAGCTGGAACTGGGCATGGTTGGCTTGTCAGAGTTTTAACATGATGGTGGACAGCACAGCCATGGTCCTCTGAGGGAAAGGGATCCTGAGCAGAATGCCTGGCTGGGCCCCACAGTTATCAAATATGGTGTGCACATTGGTTTTCTATTTCTAACTACCGTTTAACCCTGACCCCCGTGCCCCTGGTGCGCTTGCTGAATGCCAGTCAGTGAACATGTCAGTGGTTACCTTTAGCAGGTAATATGCCTGAAAATGACTTTCACGGGGGAAATAAAAACCAGCTAGCCCGCACAGCCCCATTCTTGCACAGACAGCACAGTTTAGGTGTTTTCTCCTAAGAGACTAGCATGGGTTTCTGATCTCACGTACCCTTCTGCTACGGCATAGCCTGTACCCAACAGTTAGGCTTCTCAGTTCCAGGACTCAGGGGTGTAAATAAGATCATGACGATGTTCATAAAAACCAGCCTCTTTTCTTGAGGTTACTGGGATCGAACTCGGGTCCTTGTGAATGCTAGGCTAAAGCCCTGCCACAGAGCCACACCCCGAGCCCAGTGCCATTGTGTGGCTCTGTGAGCATGGGTTGTGACTTGTAAACATCTTCTAACTAGGAAGAACCACTGGATCGGAGCCAAAGCCCTAGTCAAACTTATCAAGCCAAAGAAAGAAGGCTCCAGAGAACGGTTAAAATCCACCACAGAGAGCCCCCCCTGGCAGCTGGAGCCCTCAGACCCCGCCTCACCATCTGCCTCCCAGAATCTCAGATCACAGACGGAGAACTCCGACAACCCCACACCCGGTTTGAACTGTGCAGAACGGGACACCCACAACGGGCCTGTGGGGAAAGGTAGGTGCAGCTGCCAGATGTGGCAGAGTAAGGGTAGAGGCTCCGAAAGATCCGTTCACTGATGGGGTGTGCCGTGCCTCCATGGGAACATGGCGGTACATGTGCCCCCTACCCGGGCACGGCACCAGGCCAGTCTCTGCCATGGCTGTGTTAATCCTTTAGAATAGGAAGCACCGTTTATTACCTGGGCTGCGCGCTTATTTGACCATCTGAAGTTGATGCTTGGGCAGGCACCCTAGGGAGGCACAGCAGCAGGTGTGTTTGGGGTTCCCTCCAGTGTGTCAAAGGTTGTGGTTAGCTCTTTTCTGTACACGTGTATTTACCACACCTGCCACGTGCCCAGGTTCAGAAAGTCCTGCGTGGCTGTTTGTTGTCTTCCATCATTTGGAAAGCACCTTGGTTTATTCCCCACACAGATTTAGCCTTGGGTCCTGTAGTCTTGGGACACTGGGCTGGCATTTGGAATTTGCCAGGGGCTCTGAAGGATGACAGGAGCTGGTCGTCCATGTTGTCGTTCATCAGCATCTCAGGCCAGATGAACTGCACATGACTGTCGTGGGCAGGAAGTGAATGGCAGCCTTTGGTCTTCATAGCGCTTCACCGCTGAACCATTTTAGCACACTCCCGTGCAGTCAGAATCTCATCTAGAAGATGGAGTGTTGGGGCTGGAGGGACACTCAGCAGTGGAGAGCACTGGCTGCTCTTGCACAGGACGTGGGTGTGATTCCCGGTACCCACATGGCAGCTCACAACTGTCTAACTCCAGCTCCAGGAGTCGGATGCCCCTCTCTGGCTTCCACAGACACTGTGTGCACACAATGCACTTAGATACATCCAAGCAAGCACTCATACACATAAAATAAAAATAACTATTACTTTATTTATTTATTTAGAGGCAGGGTTTCTCCGTGTAGCCCTGGCTGTCCTGAGACTCACTCTGTAGACCAGGCTGGCCTTGAACTCTGCCTCTGCTTCCCAAGTGGGATTAAAGGTGTGCGCCACCACATCCAGCTCTTTTCTTTCTTTTTATTTTTTTAAACAAGATGGATTGTTGTGCACACATACAAAAGGAAGAGGTTGGCAAAGCAGGTTGGTATGATATAGACATTATTATCACAGTCACTGCCAGGTCTGTAGTGACTGAACACTTTCGAAGCTAGCTCCAAATTTCAGATGTTATAGTATCCAAAATGACCATCATAGAGTCTGAAATACAAGTTACCTTAAGTATTTCGAGACGGTCAAGTTTACTTTTCACTATCTTTTTTTTTTTTTTTTTTTTTTTTTTTTGGAGGGGGCGGTATTTATACCAGGCCTTCATTCTGAGTAACTTAAATTTTATCAAAGATACTGGAACTTTCTGAACTCATGTCAGGGAACCCAGGGCTCTTAGGGGCTGATGGAACACTGAGAAGGAGGAACAGGTGCCCTCTGTGGGTTGCGTCACATTCGCAAGTACCCAGGTCGTCTTCAGCTGTGAGGAGTATCCATGCTCCTGTCAGCTGCATCTCCGTTCTCTATGCGGATGGGAGTAGGTGAAAGGTGAGCCAGTGCCGAGGCAACGGTGAACAGGGGCTCATGGTGCAGCTCAGTCTTGTCTAAACTTGTTCTATAACCCAGACAGGCCGTGAACTCATGGCAATCCTCCTGCCTCAGCCTCCTGAGTCCTGGGACTACAGGGGAGAGCCACCACACCCCAGCTCTTCACTAGCTCTAAACATTAGCTTAACATTTCTTATAGCCAGAGAGGGTCCTGTGGCTCCCAGTTTCCATAATGGCAATTTTTGAACATTTCCCACTTTAGCCTATATTTTTGTTGAAGTTGAATGAATGAATTAGTTGTGCTCCATTTAATTGAGTTAAGACGACTTTCAGAAGCCCTGGCGTGGTGGCACACTCCTTGAGTCCTAACACTTGAGGGACAAAGGCAAGTGGATCTCGGAGTTTGAGGCCAGCCTAGTCTAGAAATCGAGTTCCAGGACAGCCAGAACTACACAGAGAAAACCTGTCTCAAAAAGGCAAACAAGAAAGAAAACTTGCAGAGAAAGAGTGTCTACCTGGTCCAGACTGCTGCTGGGAGCTGAGTACCCTTTGAACCGCGTTGGGGGTTCTCTATCTCATCTAATCCCTAACAACCTGGGAGGTGGACGTTATTCCTGTCCATTTTTTATGTTATTTATTAGCTAGAAGATGGTCTCATGAAGGTAACACTGAGGAGTAAAACCGATATAGTAATAGAGATCCAAGCCTGGTGTCTCAGCCTCTGGCTCCTGAGCTGGCACTGCCCGCAGTAACTGTGGAGTTCTGTTCAGTGCCTCCCTCCCTCCGGCTGTGGTCACCAACCTAGGACCCTTATGCGATGGTGTGGGATTTGACCACTAGGTGGAGCTATGGCAAAGGAAATAGTAGCGATTCTGGTCTTGGCTTTAATCCTAAAGCAGAAGTCTGAATACCCCTGAAAGGTATGTCCAGGAGCTTAGTTAGATTGGTTGTCTGCTTTGTGGTGCCTCCACTTTAAAGGCCAAGGAGTGGAGGACATGTGGGGGGGCGTGGTCTGAAAGGAAATAATCTCCCCAGGTCTTGGGGGGTTGGGGTAATAAGAAAGACATTTGCGTGTTTCTAAACTCATGTTGCCAAGGGAGGCGATTCTAGAATTACAGCCTACGGTGAATGCTTCAGGTAGACTATGCTCTGACAGTGGGCCAGCATGTCATTAGGTGTGTCCAATGAGTTGTCAGGGAGCCTGTCATTAAAAGGAATGAGTAAGAGAAGCTGGCTTCCATGTTAATAAGCATTCTTATTTAATAATTTAACACACTGAAATTGAAAAATCATCTAAACCGGCGGGCGGGCAGGCGGGCGACTCCTGGGGCAGCGTATAGTTCTCCTGATGCGCTTCATGAGTAATAGTTGGCACCGGGGTGCCACTAAATTAAATTGAATCAGAGCGTAAATGGTTCTGGCCTGGGTATTGGGTATTGATTGGTTGAACAGGACTCTGCTTTCCTAAGTACCTTTTGCTAGCCTGGACTCATTTGTGATTATTGTTCATTTCATTTGTTTTTTTGTTTTTCTTCTTCCGGGTTATCACAATGATAACCATGTAGCATCCCAGCGCAAAAAGAGTCCCTTTTTGAGAAGCAAAAGCAAGGATAAAGACAAGTCTCCATCGGCCCACCCAGCTCTCTCTAAACGCCTGCGATTCTGGTCTTCCTCTGACATCCCATCCTCTCCCAGCGAGTCTGTCTGTCTCTCAGACATTGGGGATTTCTGACCCCCTCCTTTACCATTGTCTGCATCATGTGTCTCTCCTTCATTTCTAAAATTCAAACTACCAACCAAAGGAAGTTAGTCCCTAAAGGCCACAGCCACACGGTCTCTCGTGGACCCTGGTTCCTCCCCCCCAGTCACAAAGTAGCCATCATGGATCCTGATCGCAAAATAGAAGATGAGTTGCCATGCTCCCTGGACATTCTTCAGAACAGCACAGTGTAGGGGACCCTCGGGATGTACGTGCATTTACTTACCCCTGGGCCAGGAGACCCGCGCTAAGTAAGTGAAGAGGCCTTGTGGTCCTCCCCCTCCCTGCATCTGCAAGCTTCTGTCGTGCCCGCGTGCAAAGCGGGAGTGGCCAGTTGCCGTTACGCTTCCTGAAATACCCACCAGCGAGCAGGCAGCCTTCCTAAAGATTTATTTCTAAGCAGCTCAACTTTGTCCCCCACTCTTTGTCAGAACATAGAGCTACTGGCTTCTGCTCCCGAGCCCCTAGGGAGTCTGTGTTTTGAAGGATCACCTGCTCTGTTTGAGCATTTTGAGTAATTGAACTGATTCTGCCCAGCCAGAGGCGAGTTTTATGACTGCGTTGTGGTTCTTTGACATCGTGGATGGTGAAATTAAAACCATAGTGGACAGAACATATATCAGGACATAAGTCACACCCAGAGCAGGGGGAGATGCTGACCTGAGAGGTCACCACCACTGTCATGGTTCCATTTCACATCAAGCTCTGTGATTTGGGCCATGGCCCCTGTCTCCTATATGGTTATTACATAGTCTCCCTTAAAATGACTCACTGTTTGCAGTTCACTTTATCTTAAAAAGGAAAGGTTATTGTCAGGACATAGAAATCAGGTGACCAGCCGGGCGGTGGTGGCGCACGCCTTTAATCCCAGCACTTGGGAGGCAGAGGCAGGTGGATCTTTGTGAGTTCGAGGCCAGCCTGGT